AGGGAGAGAAAAGAACAGATGCAGAGGATGTGGGAGTGATGAGGAGCATGATGACAGTGGTGGTGATGATGATGATGGTGGCACTGATAATTGCCTAGTCACTGTCCAGGCAGAGATTTAAAGCAGGCCATGTGTATCATTAGACGCACACACACGTATACAAGGCTATCATCAGCAACATGAAGTAAAACTGCGGCTGTAAGAGTAACTATTTGAGAGAAACGTATTTATTTTAGACTATTTCACTGAATGCTGATTCAAACTAAAATTCAATTTATTAAATATATTTAGAAAATGGTATTACAAAGAATTAATTACGAAAATATAAACTGCGGAATGGGTGACGTGAAAATGGCAAGCGAACCAAGAGGGTTAAAGAGGAAGTCATACAGACCACTTAAGTGCTTTTCATGGAGCGTAATTAGTTATCAAGCGGGGAAATCCAATTCAAACATCTGGAAGGAAATTGGTACGCTTAAGTAGGGCAGCACGGTAGGGCCAAAAATCCATATCACGGTATTAAGAAAGATTCTGACTGTATCGCGGTATGTGCGGTTTTGCTTTTTCAAGTAAACACATTAATTAATTGACCCCGAGCAGATGCCAGCGGCATCTCTGGTCTCGTTGTTCCTCCTGTATCGCTCTTTTCCTTTATTAGTCCCACAATTTCCCTCTTGTGGGACTAATAAAGGAATATCTTTCCTTATCTGTCTTCATGTAGCAACAGAGTTACTTCTTGTTGTGAGCTGTACCCATCATGCAGTTCAGCGGGGGATTTTTTATGACTACAATTATTAGTGTTACAAATTGTTTATGGGTTACAAGCTTTTGTGTGATGGGATTTTACCCTGTTAGTGTTTGTTGTGGGTTTTTCATTGTCTGTATAAAGTTGTAACCATGACTCATTCTCAACACACATGAGACAAGTCGCTCCGACCGCTGTATTTGCGATGACGTGTAAAAATACATTCTGCCGCCTTCCGAAGAGCAACGTCAGTTGTTGTGACGTAACACCGGTATGAGCGGTACGAGACAAATTCATACCATACGGAAATCTTACACCGTTTGAACCAGTTAACCGTGCAGCACTACGCTTAAGGCGTGAGGTTGTTGTCGCACACTTTTTTTATAGACTTGGATATCTAACAAAGTGCAAATCGTATCCAAGCACAGCTGTCTCAGCAGATATCTAGCTAACAATTGGGAAATTCATACACGTTGATTTGCATAAATATACCTCCTATTCATGGCCGTGCACAGATCAATGCCATTGCTCACTGAACAGATTTCATTATCAGCAGATCAATTTATTATTTTAATCAAACTAAGAGTTCATTTTAAGACAAACTGGTTAGTTGCATCCTCTGTGTGTGTGTGTGTGTGTGTGTGTGTGTGTGTGTGTGTGTGTGTGTGTGTGTGTGTGAGAGTCAGTCAGTCAGTCAGTCAGTCAGTCAGTCAGTCAGTCAGTCAGTCAGTCAGTCAGTCAGTCAGTCAAGGTCACTGACGGGACAGGAGGGCTCAGACCTCCTCTGTGCTGTAGCCACCAGTCTTTTCCATGCATTTAGGAGAAATGTAATCTATGTTGTGTATGGCGATGCTTATTTATGCTATGATTTGACCTCAGGGAGGGTGATTTAGAGGGCAGGGGAAAGTAAAAAACGTAGGAAAGGAGAGAAGTATATTTGACTGTGCGACAGGAGAGAACGAGAGGGGAGGGATGATGGTTTAGACTAAAATAGATTAAATATTGGTGGAAAGGAGAGGAGGAAAAAACCCGAAAGTGGATGCAAGGGGAGGACAAATGAAACAGAGTGAACATGGTCACAGGTGCAGATGGAAGAAGAGATGAAGAACTGATAGATGGGAAAAGGACAATGTAGTGCAATGGGTAGATAGAGGTCAGATACAAAGAGACTATGACAGAGATAATCATGATAGAAGAAAGGATAAAGGCTGAAAGAGGGAATAGACGAGGTCAGGCATGAGTTGGTATGATTATATGGAGAGGAAGGAGCAAACGGCCCACAATAAAGGAAATTAGTGACTGAAATCCTATGAATCTCTGAACCCTCCGAGGCGACTATAATTTAGCCTCCAATATTTACGGTTTAGCCAGTGTATTTAAGGGTAAAGTCTTTCCTTTCCTCGTGTCCGTCGTTTTCTATGTGATAAGAAACTTGATGGGCAAGACTGATGTTGTGTATGTGATGACCATAAACAGGCAGGACGCCTTTTTGAATGTAATATTACTACAGTGTGGTTGCTACACTTGGGTCACTTGCTTTTAAAACATGCAAATGGCATGGCTCTAGAGATGGCAATCTTTGAGATACAAAAGTATCTCCACTACTATTTTACCCACAGGTATCTAGAGGGTGAATCCTGTGCAGTTCGGTGATCCTCTGACTTCCTCCAGCCCCACAGTCAGGTCAAAGTTTTCACATGTCAATGTAGGGAAAATTAAAATAAGGTTCATTGTAGATGGACAGAAGGTCTGTCACATCTTGAACTGATGTGGTATTCCTGAAATAAACCGATGTTAAGGATGATTTGTGAACCGGGTATTTTCCCAAGGAACTCATGTTGTGAAGTTTTATGGCCTAGCGGTAAACAACGTTTCTCCTTAAATCATGAATGACAATGCTATCTCTGTCTCTTTGATGTGGAGGTGACCAGAGGGAGCTGATCCTCCCCTTTGAGTAATCTTGGCGCATGTCTTGTATGTGTGTGTCAACTCTGCTCCATGCTTGCAAGCATTTAATAAATGTCTTGCTTTCACCCCGGTGTCGAGTAAAATGTTTCTAACAGACCTTCTGCAAAACTAATGACATTCCAATCAGAAAAAGAAAACGAAAAGAGAAAAACAGAATGATCTAAAAATGTGGACAATTAGAGAGGGAACTAGAGGCATAATAAGAAAAGGAAAAAAATAAATGGAGATGCCTTTCCGTAAGGGTCATATCAAAGTTGGCCTCTGTTGGATTTGGGCAAATGAACCACGCCTTTATTTTTATAGCTTTGCCCTTACAATATTAATTCAATCTCAATCATATTTTTATCAGCAACCTTCATTGCTAAATCCCTCTGTGTCCACTGGGTCTTTGCTGACATCATTACCTTGTTGAACTTTCTAAGTGGGGTTAGCCAAGCAACTTGTTGAAATGCCTAAGTAAATGAAAGGTATTTAGGCTACGCTGGCTGCACCAAGTGACCCCCATGTGTTGAGTGTGTCAGAGGGAGTCTTCTGTTAGGTCTCCAATCTCACGTAGTCGGTTATTATCTGATTGCTCGGCGTGCTGAATTTTTAGGGGTATGTGGAAACTCAAAGTGTCCGGGCCTTTATTCATTTCTGTCTGAGTGCTGTACAATCTAATTAGAATGGTTGTATAGAATTACAGTAAGGGAATAACAACACTCCTCCCCTTCCTGTACGGTTTCATCAGTAAAAACATGCATGCTATGTTTTAAGTGATGGAGTTAACCAGGTATAGTGTTGCAGAGAATATTTATAGTATTGCACTGTGTAGACACACATGGACAAAATTGTTGGTACCCTTGCAATAAAGAAAGAAAAACCTACAATGGTCACCAAAATAACTGAAATGAAATGAATGGCCTGGGATAATAATGATTGTACCAGGTGGTGTTCATTTTCCGTACATATTAATTTTTTATTATTTTTAATCAGTTTCAAGTTGTTTCAGTAAACATTGAGTTTTTCTTTATTTAACGGAAGGTTACCAACTACTTTCTCCACCTTTGTATTCAATTGCTTACCCAAATATTTCCGAGACCATATTAAACAAATGTGTTTGTTGAAACTCTACACCAGTGCGGTATGCTGTGTGGTATTAGTTGGATAAGATAAGCTTTGTCATAAAAATGTTTCACCACATTATGGCATCAAAATAAAATCTTCAGAATTGCCATCAACTGTAGCATTAATTTAGCATTGGCAGCACTTCAGCATTTATTTTGCAGTTTCCCATCTTCAAGAAAGTTTTGGACTGACAGCATTTATTTCCCATAAATTTTAGCTGCTCAAAGTTGTGTCTATGCATGTTGCTATTATTCAATGTGATGATATACGTTAAATAAATGTAGCCTGCCATAGTTGTATCCTCATATAAAACCACAAGTCAGGGCCTCAGTCAGGTAATTGGAAAGAAAGTGAAAAAGAAATGAATGACTGCAAAGAATAAAGGGAAAGTGTACTCATGTATGCAAAAACGTAATCTTTGCATGAAAAGGAAAAATATTGAATTTCACCAACATCATCCTCATCTATAACACCAAATGTTACAATATGAACCATTTGTCTTATACTGTGCTGATATCAAATGATCAATGTAGTTCCGTAAACACCATATTTGCTTTAATGTGCATATAACTCAACTACTTTTAGTTTAGAACAGTATCTCCTTTTCAGTTATGTCAGCTACGAGGAGGTGATATACTGCCTGTATGCTTGGGTGGATATCAATCCACCCAAGCATACAGGCAAACCAACAGTCTTTACCCTTGGAGGAACCAGAGCCAGATCACTGCTGCGTGATAAGTCTCCACCTCAGCGTTTGTCAGCTACGGTGAAAAAAGACCATTGTCCATTGTACCACTATCCAGCTGGCTGATTTTTAGCATCTTCTTGGGACGTTTGCTCTCAATTTAAACTCTGGCATCACCATGAACTGCAGCAGCTTTCTGGTGTGTTTCTGCATCTTAACTGACTCAGGGTTCATCACATGAAGTACAATTGATGTGTGTTCCAGTGTGAACTGTAGTGAACAAATATTCTCTGTTTACCAAATGGCACAGTGTTTATAATGCATTGTACAATGATTGTCAGTCTGCGCTGCTTGTTCGTTTACAATAATTGTGCTGATGTAATTTTGTGTGGTTGATGTGATTACAGCACCAATCAGAGTTTAGAGAGGACGCTGCTCCTCCTCAGGCCTCAGTGAATACTCACCTCCTGCTTCAACCCTCTTGTGTCCCTACAGGCGGATGCTAAGATGGTGTGCGACGTGGTCAGTCGCATGGAGGACACAGAGCCTTACTCTGCCGAGCTGCTCTCCGCCATGATTCGCCTGTGGTCCGACTCAGGCATCCAGGAGTGTTTCAGCCGAGCCCGCGAGTACCAGCTCAACGATTCAGCGCAGTAGTACGTACACATTATGTTTAGGATTCAATATAATTTTGATTTGAATATTGATTCCTATAGTTCATATAGTTCCTGTTTTAACAAAAGAACGCTTTAACGTGTTCTCAATCAGTGAGCAGTGAATCACGTGTGCCGGTATGTGTTATAAGATTCATTATATTGATCTCTGTTGTTATCGCTCAGCATCCTAAGAAGTACCATATCACTGAGTCAGCACAGAGGCAAACGTATGTGTATCCATCCACCCACCATAAAAAAAGAGATTCTTTCAAACCGATCTCATTTATTCACCACCTTCTAAATGCTATTACACACTAGCTATTACGACACAGTCAATCACCATAACAAGTCTAGCACCTGATTTATGGTGTGTGTGTGTGTGTGTGTGTGTGTGTGTGTGTGTGTGTGTGTGTGTGTGTGTGTGTGTGTGTGTGTGTGTGTGTGTGTGTGTGTGTGTGTGTGTGTGTGTGTGTGTGTGTGGGAAAAGAGGGAGAGAGACGAGGAGCCATTTCCTTCAAGTCCCACTTTTGTGCAAGTAGTGCTTGAATATTGTTGTGCACCATACATACATGACATTAAGATAAATTCACGTAGCGTGAAAGATGGAGTCACAGTCATCTCACCATATATATATGGCCGACTGTGGGTGAGTGGGGAGCACGGTCGTCCTCCAATCAGAGGGTTGTGGGTTCGATCCCAGGCCCGGCTAACCCGCATGTCGTTGTGTCCTTGGGCAAGACACTTAACCCACCATTGCTCCTGTAGCTGCGACTACAGTGTGTGAATGGTAGTTACTGATGGCAGGTGTCACTGTGTATGGTTCTCCTGTCATCAGTGTATGAATGGGTGTGAATGGGTGAATGATGTCATGTAGTGTTAAAAGCGCTTTGAGTGGTCAGAAGACTAGAAAAGCGCTATACAAGTACAGGCCATTTACCATATATATATGCCACTGTGAGAAGCACATATACTATACCCTTAAAGGCCCCAAGCACAGATAGTAGTGAATATAGCTACATGGATTCATGTTAAACAGCATTGTTAGCTGCACCAAAACAATACAATTTATAAGTAGTCGTCGTGGCGTAGAGGGTGTGCTGGGAGGGTGTGCTGGGAACCACAAGGTTGGTGGGAAAAAGGATACTTTTTTCAACACACCTTGAAATCAAATTCACCATTTGGAGGAGAATCGCCCAGTTATCCAGACTCGGAGACAACAAAAAGACGAAGGTCCAATTGAAAAATTGAAACGGAGGCCTTGTCATAGAATTAACATTAAAGTGATAGATTGATACAGGACGCTAGACAAATGAGACTTAAGAGGCGAGAAAAGGATCGACTCGGTCAATAGGATGAGCAAGCAAAAGAGGACAGACAGAAAGAGAGAAAGTTGCAGCACTTGGTCATTTCTCACCATGGCAGGCATTTTGTGGGTGCAGACGTATTCCTGTCAACATTCACATGTAGTCAATTAACTTGAACAACATCCGCTGTGTGCGAGTGCAAGCATGTGTGCGTGGGTGTGTGTGTGTGTCCGTTTGTGTGCTTGCCTTAAATGTCACATTAAAGATTGATGCACACTTCCTATTATGTTGTGCCCTGTGGAGCGGAACAGGCCGACCAGCCAATGAACTGTTAGGACAGACATCACATGATCAGACCACATTCTGCCTCCTTCCGTCTTCAACCAAAGAATCTTCTACTGTTAACCGACAACATTAGCGTCTTGCATGCAGTAAAGCTGTGGTTGAAGTTCCCAACTGCAACGATAACTTATGCACAAACCATAAATCAGTCATTCATCACCAGCTGCAGTGTAGGCGCCCAACAGGCAACTGCCTGCTATGTTTTGTCAAGGTTTTAGCCAGTGTATTTAAAGCTTGGCGTATTACATTGAACGCAGCAGTGCAGTGCGTGCACTTTGTTCTTCAGTCAATAAATGCTACAGCTCCTCAAGAATATTAAAGTGAAGGAGGTTAAGCCTGAAGTTAGTTGTGTTTGTATATTCTGAGAGGAACAAATACGGCCTTAGGCCACCTCTCTCTGCAGATGCTCCGCGTGTCCCGACCTATTAACCACAATGCACATACACTCTATATGATTTGACTCTATATGATTTGAATACCCTGCCTTTGTGACAAAGTGGTTATCCACCATCCATGTACCAACTGGTCCTCGATTACGTCCTCCACATCGTCACAAATGCAATGACCTTTATGGGGAACTTCAGTTTATTTTAAGTGAAGTTTGGTGAGGTTAATAGCCAACCAGGTTACAACAATTCTTAGTTGACACCAGTCTAAAATCATTAAACAGGACATTAATTAAATAATAAATAAATGACAAGGAGCTTGTTTAGAGTTGAAACATCTAAAAGTCATGTGTCAAGTTGCTGTTCGCTGGCAGGTCACACTTTATGGTGTTCTAAAGTAATATTGCTTGAACTACTGTGACTAAGACAATATATTATTTATGTTTGCAAACAGGAAGTTAAACAGGAGTAGGACTGTAATGCTACATTCACCGCTGTAACGCTACTGTTACCGTCCGTGCTCACTTGACCAGAAACCCGTTGATGTTAGATTGGTGACATTACATTGTAGACTGAATAGCGGGGCGGCTGCATGTGTGCGAGACAATGCAGGCAATATCTTAGCTGCTAACTCAGTTAAGCAATTGCCTGTCTTTGCAGCACAGCGTCCGCGTATGCAAGGCAGTACCGCTAGTCCCGTCTGATAACGCTACGGCCGACGGGGGTTAACCAACGCGGCTCGGACCTGGAGTCCGATTACTTGGCGTGAGGAATTGGATGTGTGGCGGTCAGAGTTGGCAGCCCTGTAGCTTTGTTGGCTAGCTTGACAACAACTTTGACAAAAACAAGACAGCAAATAAGTTACTGAATAGTCCAGCAGAAATGCATGCAAAATAACCTACAATTTCACTCATGTGGGCCTTTATGATCATGAGGTCAGAATGCACACAAAATTGTACCAAATAATACACACTTGATGCAGTAGGCTACATGCTGGTGGAGCCTGAGGGTGGATCTTCACCTAAGGAAAAATAATGATTCCATGAATTAAGAAATATGAATGTGAGAATATCAAACTCAAACTATATGCAAGTAAATGAAGCATTGTTTATCCCACAGACAGTCAAACAGGTGCCAGGTAAAAAATGGAACCTTACAGATGTTTTATTTATTACTATCATAGATAAAGGTATAGTATCGAAGTCATAATGTTGGTATTGTGAGTGCTGGTGGTAAATCTGTGTCGGAACACAGATTTCCAACCTCTAAAACCAGTTACTTAGCAACAGCTATGAAGGAGGATATCCCCCCCCCCCCCCCCCCTCCCTCCCTCCCCATCGGCTGACTTTAAAAAAGAAAAAGAAATGCCACATAAACGGGTTTTTAAGGTATGTTTCAAAGTGTACATATTATACCCTCTGTGTATATATGTGTATCTGTTTAAAGTTACATTTTGTGTATACTTGCCAATATGGTTTTTTACCACCCTTTATGTTAGGGAACGTCACCGACATTTAACCACATGCTGATTTCGGTCATTGCACTTGCAGTCAATGCAGTAAGGGATCAATAGTACTACTTGACAGAGGGGTTTGGGTGTGTCTGTTAAACGTGCTGGATAATGTGCAATGCATAAAGCGTTGGTTGAGCTTTACTTCAGCACATTAAAGGGGGGGAGAGAATGGGAGACTGAGGCAGCGAGTAGATGGACTGAGGTTTAATACAGGGTTAATACAAAAACATGTTTTGGCAATAGAGCACAGGGTTACTGTTTTCATCTGTGTGTTAGGTACAATAAGGAAAGGCATAAGGTATAGCACATTTAAACAAGGCAATTCAAAGTGAACTGAAGTGTCTTGCAGTGACAAACAGAGTTATGGCTGACTCATGAAAATAAATATGTTAAATATCAAACAAATGCTGAAAATCGTGGCTGATAATTGGTCGATCAACGTGCACTCGACTTTAGTTTAACAGACAACGTTCTCTTCGGTGGTTTCTCTTTTGTGCCTCATACTTTCTCAGGGATCATCTATAATACTCTACATCACCAGGGAAATCAAAGAAGAATTAACTGGGATGTGATGTAAATTGACTGAGTCCACCATATCAGAATGAGGGTGGGGACTACTGCAGTGTAGCTCTACATAGAACGCTCAATGCTGACTAAGAATAGGCTACTCAGGAATACATTAATCTGCAATTATTTAAGTTCCTCTCAAAAACATTTTCTCTGAAATGAGACCGCTGGGTAGAATTGGGGACATGTGTGGACTGACAGCTTCTATCTTTAGAGGGCTGAGTCTCCTTTGCTGCTAAAGGTCTTTCAGGTGTAAACTTTCGTCTTATCATCTCCATCTCTTCTTATCACTTATCACTTGCCCTGTGCATCCAGAAACTATTACTCTCTACATGCAGTACATACAAACCCACTTTGTTCTTTTGGATAAATAGTAGTTGATTCATTCCATACTGCAGCACCACTGCTGCAGGAGGATATACTGTAATTGGTGATTGCTCAAGCAAATCAAAGTGTGGCTTCTAGTTTGTATTTCTATATATTTCCCATTCCAAACAATTTCTGCCTCACGTCTCCCCCCTTTCAGCTCTCCCTATTTACCGCCCCTCCACACCCTATGATCTAAACCCATATCTCTTTCTCATTGATCAATAGCTCTTATCACTGTGTGTGCGTGTGCGTGAGAGAGAGTTTAGACCATTAGCTCATACTTTATTTTTTCCCCTCATGCTCTTAGAAGTAACTCGGCATCCATTTATAAAAGCTCTGAAACAACACCCGCCAATCTATAAGTAAACGCTTTACATCCATTACTCTAAATGGATGCATGATGTGGGAAGATTTTCTGCTTATATCTCCTCCCGTTCGGTCTGACTTTCCGTCAGCCGATCTTGAGTTGGTTGAGAACAGCAAAAAAAATGTCAGATGGTTATTGCTCTGCACCTGGTTTTGAAAGTCTATCAGAAGGGAAAGCATAAGGATGATGTCTTTCAAGGAGGACATGACACAGCTGTATGTCCGCATAGGCAATGAACATGGCTTTAGTAGAACATAGCAGACACCAGCCAATCAGATTAACAGATTGGACATGCTGTAAAAGTGAATAAGTAGTGAAGCCGCAGCTCCGTCTTCATCCTCTTTTCTTCCGTCTTCGCTCGGTGGTGAGCCGGAATGTTACAGTTGTGAGAGCGATCCCCCCTCAGCCCAGGAGCTTCCCTGCATGTTCAGTGAGATTAATCTGAGCTGTACGATTAAGGATTATTTGATGTATTGATCTACATTAAAAAATAAAGGTCCACTTCCAGTCATATGCCGTTACGTAACCGAGTACTCATCTCGCCCACCCGCTTCCCCTTCTGGCTGCTCAACATGGTCATGTAGCTCCTGTATTTTATCTGCCAATTAGGGATGAGGGCCTTTATTCATTTAATGTGTACTGTTGAAATTAGAACTTAATAAGTCAAGTGATTAAGTAAAATATAGTTCCATTTAATCACAATAAACTACTGTACAATGTGTCCAAAGATTCTTCCTCTACTTGCTGACAGTATTGATCTGTATCTTCCTCTGACCCCAAATTGAGGGTGAAACAGAAAGTTGCCCCACTGCTGCAGTCAGGAGAGTTGCACATTGGATGTCATTATTAATATATCATCCAGTGGGTGGTTGTCAAATGCTGCATGTTATGTAATGTTCAGTGTTTCAGCCACCTGAGCCATGACATACATCATCACACAGTGGAAAGAAACACAACAAATGCGTCCTTGTTTCAGTGATCACACTCGTACTCGTGTCAGTGTGATTAGCAATCTACCCTTTGAGCTACTGAGACCTAAGTGATTCTCAAAGATGAGATGCACCAAGCTACTCAACTCAAAGAAAAAGAATTACAAGGAAGACATATGAGAACTCCACACCACTACGTTACTTTAGCTGCTGTACGTTCAAACCAAGAACTCTTAACAATGTGATGAACCGCAATGATCAAAATGTTAAGGACGTTCTTTCAAGTTGAATGGATACTGATTGGCCGTCAGTCTCTCTGTTGCTCGTCCAACTGCTCTGAAAAGTCATCCCAATAATACCAGTTTCTACTGTGGTTGTTGTTATAAGTTTGTTGTGGGCCTTAGATCGTTTTAAAAAAAGTAGGTTTTCAATTTCAAGAGTAGAAGAGAAAAGGGTCTTAGACTGAGTTCTTACAGATTCATTTGGCAAACCCAACGCTGTCTTCGGTAACAATGGCTGGGTTTAGAAGATGTAAACCTTCCCCAAATTCAACTTGGCGCTTGACGCAAACGTTAGCCGAGACTCTCGTAGCATCCGGGACCAAAGTCCACACTGTGATAACATCTTGCCCCCCTCAGTTAATAATGTGCTCCATGACCTTTCAACTATCTTAACACTTGTCTTTAAGCTAGTTAGCCGCATGCTAACATTCTTTAAATAAGCAGATAATTACCATTCATTAATTCCCTTCACTTATATAGAGAATGGATTGTGAAAATAAACAATAGCAACAACAATGTGGGAACAGGCCAGAGACTGACATTAAAACAGTAATGACCAAAACATACATACATTGCATTCAAATATCACAAGCAAATTTAAGTACCTCAGTATTGGGGGATGTTTTGAAAGTAACTAGCGATGGAAAACATCAAACTTATATTCGTTGCTGCATCAGGAGTCTGTGGCGCTCTAGAGGGACCGGCGGGATCTCTGGTGCAGGAGTGAGAGGAGCTGAATTCTGGATGTGTTTTCATTTGTGGATGATTTTGGTGGATGTGCAGTACAGGATGCTGTTGCCTGCAGTAGTTTTTGTGTATGAAAAGGGCAACAAAAAAAGTTCTCCACTCTTTAAAGAAAAAACTTTCTCTCTGAAGCTTCACCTTCATCACTACAGTGGTTTATGTGGAGAAATCTGCACCACGTCTAAAGCTAAACTACAAGACGATTGATGCTGGTTTTCAAACCGTGTCTGTCTCTGTGTCTGTGCAGCTACCTAGACAGCCTAGATCGGATTGGTGCCACGGACTACCAGCCCACGGAGCAGGACATCCTGAGGACCAGAGTGAAGACCACTGGCATCGTCGAGACACACTTTACCTTCAAAAACCTCCACTTCAGGTCAGTACCAACACATAACATTGACTATTATTTTACTGGGTTAGGGTTCACAAGCTCCACCTCTTCTCATGTTGATCTTGCTCTGCTTATCCATTTGGGAACTCCAGTCTTTAATTAATGCAATGTAATACTTTAAACAAGTGTCTATATCTATCATTGTCTGTCATTTGAACAAGATCTAGAGATCAGATAGCATATAGCAGATAGCAGTGGGAATGACGGTAAAGAAAGCGGTGAGAACAGAAGCCGCAGGCCTTTTCTGACCTCTAATTTCATTACAATATTTCTGCCCCTCCTGCGTTCATTTGTACACGTGCACGCACACACTTACAGACACACAGGCGTGTATGGAAGGATTGATAGGCACAGAGCGGAAAGGTTGATAAATTGTGGAACCATTTGATGGTGCATCCATCCAGAAGAGGATGGATGCACCATTACACTTCAGCTATTGTCCGTTTCCCTTTCTGAGCCACTCATTTTCACACAAACTATTTTTTGTGTGTACAGATACATTACACAACGCACAAACATTTTCATTCTGCAGAATGATGCTTTCTACTGTTACTCTGGTACTGGAGCAGTCAGTGTGCTGGGTGTGTTTTTATTAACAAGCCTAAATATTGTCAGCTTAATTGCTATTTCTGGCAGTCAGGCAGTGTGTGGGAGACTTAAAATATGTGCATCGAACAATACAATATATAGCCTCAGTTTAAATAAGTCAATAAACACATCTGAGATGCGTTATGAAATATAATTGTATAAAAAAATGCAATAAGAGTATGCCCTGAAATGAACAGAATACATTGAATGGAGTATTAAAAATTATTAAACAGTTGCAATTGCACCACGCTCCACGTTGATCGTTCTACAGTTTTATTGCACAATAGAGTAGGTAAGGTGTGCGTGAGAAGACTCCATCCACGTGTGTGTGTGTGTGTGTGTGTGTGAGAGATTGCACATGTGTTTTGATTCACATCCGTCTCACTCTGTCCATCAGGCTGTTTGATGTAGGAGGTCAGAGGTCGGAGAGGAAGAAGTGGATCCACTGTTTTGAGGATGTCACCGCTATTATTTTCTGTGTGGCGCTCAGCGGATACGACCAGGTGCTGCATGAGGACGAGACCACGGTAAGGATACATGTGTATGTTCTCTCTCGCTTTGTCCCTCTATCCCTGTCACTGAGTGGCATAGTGACCAATTCATGAATATTGGAAGACATATTTCAAGGCTGTCATGTCAGATGGAATGCTTAATGTTATTCTGGAGAACAGCATGGACACAGGCTTATAGCAGCTAGTTTCAAGATATTACTGTTGTTCTTGATGTAGAAACTGTGTTTCAGCTGACATTAATTACACACCCTGTGTAAGAACTTGAAACAAGGAGGAATATGTCTGTGCTGTTTGATAAGCTGCTAAATTAATTGAACCATAAACTTACCTAAATGTTTAGATTTCCATTTCAATGAATCTATGAAACAACGTCTTTTCTCTTTTTGCTCTACTTAGCAAGTGTTATTTATTCAATGAACTAAGTCTTTGTACTTTCATGGTCCACCATAGCACATTCTTCAATGTACATTAAGTTGTTTTTTCCTCTGAATCTGTTTGATGCACCATCGTCTGATATAACAACCAGACATGGAAATAAATCGACGGGCCACAGTCTGCATTGCATTCTGGCCAAACCAAATAACCTGTTTTAAATAATGGGACGGTCGTAGTTGGTCTCTCACAAAGTTACTCTCAAGGCAAATCATCTTGAATTATGAGATATACAATCAGTGTAGAAATGAACCAAGTTCATAGAATGCTTCTAATGCCTTTGCTTTAGTGAAATAAATATAATGAATTAGATTCTCACTGTTCCTAACCGTAAACCTTAACGTTGCAGGACTTTATTATTTGTAGTTACAAATGTGTATTTAATGAGTACAGATTGGTAACACATAATACCGGGTAATGGCTCTGGACAAGGTGGTACACAGTCACAGAGTAGCTCAGTGTTTCCTCAACAAAAACATGTGTCTGTACAGACGATGTAGAGGATCTTACATACAATAAATAAGCTGATTTGAATGCCTGGCGCTCACTGCTATTTATAAAGCCTGAAGCGTATCCTCCGAGGAATCCAGGCTGGGAAACTGAGTAGCTGCTCTATTTATGCAGCGTTGCAGCCTCCCGCTGAGCTGGGAGCTTCAGAGGAATGTCAAATTAAGAGAAGCAATATGCATCATGAAACACACTCAAAAAACTGCTTCTAGCCGGTGTGTCGTATACGAATACCTTTAAATAGCGTGTCCTCTTGAGTGACGGCGCCGTAAACTCATGGTGCTACTTTGGGTATGGCTGCTAGAAAATGTGTTCTATAGGCAACATCAAAAGTAAACTACCAATAACCAGTAACTACCAATTGTATCCCTGATAGGACCTCCAAAGATCTGACTGCAGTGCAGTGATGTTTCTTAATTTAATTAATTTCTAATATGTTTAACCATGGTATTGCGGCCACTGTTATCTTTTCACCAAAGCAGCTAAAATACAAGTTGTACTAGTTAACATAAGCCAATTTGTGGCAAAGTGGGTGTACCAAGAAATCTAGACGATGACCAATCCAAATTACCTACTGAAGTCACTGTGGGAGTTAACATGACCAGGTAACGGACAGAATAGTAATCTGTGATAAAATCCTACAGATTCAGAGCATAAAAAGCGGTGCGGAAAGGATATTCTACGATGAGACATAACACTCATTAACAGAGATAACACCCCATTCTCAGTAATGGAAGTGATAAAGTTGGGCCTGTATCTCTGGCTAGTTCATTAAAATAGCTCACATACTGTGAGTTCAATGTTTTTGTTTTTTGTTGTTTTTCCATAATACTAATTGTGTCTAATTGTCTAGGCAGATATTTAGTACTCGTGGTAAACAAGCCTCTTAGTAAGATAATGCATATTGTGCATGTTTTTTATTTTCACTGTTATCATCGTGAGACCTACATTATAGGCTTTACATAAAACCGTACTGTTGAAACTTACAGACGGAGGTTTCTGGATATTTGCTGAAGTTGGATGACCAGCATGTGCAGTTTATGATGAGAATCAAGTAGCAACAATTCAACATGTGCAACATGTACATTCATTATTTCATCACATTTCTCACTACTTCCCAGCAGTTTAATTGCCGATAATTTAATGAAATTAATATGACCTGGGTCCAAAATAGCAGAATACAATGGATGAATGAATACAATTAGATTATGAAATTGACACTTGAGTAGAATAGTTCTGGGGAGGTGAAATTCCTAGCCAGTACACTTTTCTAAAGTGCTAACTGAAACACCAACAAGTAGAGAAGAACCACCACTAGAGAAGAACCACCACCTGCATTGACATTATACCGTCTCAACATTTTATATTACATTACATTACAGGTCATTTAGCAGACGCTTTTATCCAAAGCGACTTACATTACACTTTAAACCCATGGCTTTTTCACATTTTTGCCCGGGGAGCAATTAGGGGTTAGGTGTCTTGCTCAGGGACACTTCGACATGGAACATGGGGCAGCCTGGACTCGAACTACCAACCTTGTGCTTCCCAGCACACCTTCTCTAACCCCTGCGCCACGACGACCCGATATCTCTCATCACTGCCTTTGGGAGGCATTAAAAAAGGGTTTATATTATAAAAGACTTTTTAGGAAACTGAATTGAATGTTTTTTGACTTTTCAAGAATAACCAATAGCCTTTGCAGTACCTGTATGATATTTAAAGGGGTCCCATAACTGTTTTATGTCTCTGACAGCCGTGGCCACAGGCATTTAGTTTTCTATGGAGCTCTTTATTCAACACGAGCTTTGACAGCTTGACTCATCGATTTCAGATTCAGATTCTGTAATGCTTCCCTTTAAAACCCTGCACTCTCACTCCGAGCTAATACAGAGTTACGGTTAAATGTGCATCTAGCTGACGTTTCCTGGCTCTGGAAATGGAGCACTTTATAGAACAAGCGTGGTTAGTTTGAGCTCCGATGGGAACTACGGGCAAGTGGATGAACCCGGTTCATCGATCCAGCGAAAGCACTCACAACGAGGCAGGGATCATTTAAATTGGCAACACTGCACCTGTTATTCTATTGGTTGGGGAACTTTGACTGGGTCATCACACCGAAATCCAAGAGCAGAGGGGAAAGAAGTGTGATGGAGAGCAATAATATATCTGATTGCAACCACACAGTCTGTGCAACTCATGCGCACATGCGATCTATTTCAGTGTGTGGACGAGGTTTTGCAGGAAGGCGTCACAAAATCTGAACATGAAGCCAATGGGTTACGCTCTGCAAAGGAAAGACAACATACTTGAATTAGATATGAAAAAAAGCTCCATCATTTCATGCTTGTCCCTCCATCCGGTTCCTGCTCAAGAACGAGATTTCTCACGGAGGCCATTTGTTTTTTCTAGCTCGTTGTAACTCTTCAAGGACAATTTGTAAAAAGACAACCTGGGCGGACAGATGCTTAAGGTTTCGACTGTACATGTCTAAACATCAAAGCCCTTGTAAAGACACAAACACACGCTGTACAAAACACACTACTTCTGCTTTTTATTTCCTTCCTTCTATTGAAGAACTGCTTGCATTGTGTTTTTCTCCCCCTCTATTTGTTTTGTTTCTCTGAAAACGCGCAGAGATCACACACGCAGTCTGCATAACAGCTGCTCTGGGTGAACACTGTCTGGATAGTGTTCTGTCCTTCTGCCTCTAAACACTTTCTTTTCAGCACTAGGGGTGTGTACGTATACTATGTGTGTGTGTGTGGGCTAAAGTGGGCGTCGTATGGGACGCGAGCGGAGGGAGGGAGGGTGGATGAGGGGGTCCCTTGCATTTTCCGTTCCTGCTCTAAACTCCGTCCTGCAGCATCTCTGGCTCCTTCCACTCCTCCTGTCACTCTCGCCATCGACTGTCCTCTCTTACCAATCAGCAGTCAGATCTTCTACAGATGCCCCACCCACAGAAAGGTATGAAGCCTCCTAGTAGGTTGTGTTTTCATCTATGACTCAAATCCTGCTTTTAATGTAGCATTACTGCTTTAAACGGACAGACATTGTGTGTATCCAGCCGAAGAAACGCGTTACGTTTTCTACCTCAGAAAAGATTTACCAAGCTAATTTCAACATGCACGGTTTACACCAGAGGGCCTTGTCGTCTTCGGCTCCTTCGTTGGAACACTGCAACCTTTTATAATTCATTACCTTCACAAAACAGTTGCTGCTTCCTGCCGATTACATAAACCTCTGCTCTGGTTGAAGCAAGCACATGCAACCGAATAATTGTCACACTCAAGACCGTTCTTTTTAAAGTATCGCTCTGTAATGTACCTGGTGGTCAACATCTGCACAGGGCACCTCTAAGCTGTCATTTATTCACAGCTTTAACGCTGGAAGTGCATGGCTTTGTTTAACTATGTTGCGACATCCAGCTTACTAATAATTGTTGTTACTGAGGTGGATTTACGCACACAAGTATACCCACTCAACGTGCAGGAGGAAGTGCATGTGCATGTGTCTTTGCACTAGAGGAACCCCCCCCCAGTACCTCTGTTCTGCTTTGTCATTTTAATTTACCCAGTTCCTCTTTGTATTTTAACGGTGTGGATGTACAATTCGTGTTCTTAATTTTTGTATTTGTGTGCGTGCGTTTTCTGAGCACATTAGCAGAAATGATGTGTGCATGTCAGGTTGTTTTGAGGTTTGTGTCTACTATGACCATGCAGAACGTTGTGTACGAATGCCTTTTTAACCCTCTAACGTTTCTTTCACAGAACCGTATGCACGAGTCTTTGAAGCTGTTTGATTCCATCTGTAACAACAAGTGGTTTAAGGAAACCTCTATCATTCTCTTCCTGAACAAGAAGGACATCTTTGAAAAAAAGATCACCAAGTCTCCACTGTCCATCTGCTTCCCCGAGTACACCGGTACATATTGATGCACTTGACAGTGATGTTTTGTAGATATTTCATTCTATATTCTGGATTATTGTATGAACACTAGAAGGCACTGTAGCTGCTGAGAACGAGCTTTCCCCGCCCTACATTTATAGGAAAAGAGTGAAGAGAAGACAGAGTCCTAACTTTAAGACTTTCAGAGTCACTGGCTTTGAATTATTTAATGGCATTAACCTTTCTAACATATTTCCTTAAATGAACTTGTTGCTCTGATCTCAGTGAGCTGTCACACATTATAGATAATTTATTCGCTATTGCTTCCCCTTTAATCAACAGTAATAATAAAGATGATTAACAGAAGTTTAAAGGCAACAGAAAAGAAAGATATCAAGCTCAGATTGTAACGTAAAAGATGACAGACAAAGAAGTAATGAGTGTTGAGAGGAATGAGCGAGGGGCTGTGCTTATTTAGACACAAGAGGAAAGCGGAAATAAGACAGCAGAGGAAACCATGTTGGGGAGAGTAAGAGTGTGAGAAAATTAGAAAAAATACACAAAGCAACACTGTGGGAAAGCAAGATGGAGTAGGAGCAAAACAAGACTGTGAGAAGGAGAGAATTAGAATTCCAAACCGGTCTTCTCTTCTTCTCCTCCGCATCCTTTTTCATGGCCAGACTTTGAGCCTTTTCTGATGAAGTTGCTGCTGAAGCACACAGAAAAACCACAGTGCTGCTCACGGCTCAGAGCCAAGAAGATACAAAAAAAAGAATACTCCACTGAGATCAACAGTGTTAAAACAAATTAATGCTCTTGATTGGATCCAGTGTGGGGCAAATGCTTCGCATTACAAGAAGAACTAACTCACAGTTAGTTGGACTTTAATCAGAATACTGTTTGAATCATGCTCCTCATTTCTGTCACTAGGTCAGAAAACATTGCAGATACGGGGAATGTACTGTGGGGTTTGGCCGCTGATTATAAAGGGTCACGTGACAACAGCTTTTCAAGCATTCACCTAACTACATGTCACCCATGTCTGTGTGCCTCTGTCCTCAGGTCCAGACACGTACTTGGAGGGAAAAGAGTACATTAAATGTCAGTACGAGAGCAAGAACAAGTCACCCAGCAAAGAAGTCTACGCCCATGTGACCTGCGCTACAGACACCAACAACATCCAGTTTGTCTTCGATGCCGTCACCGATGTCATCATAGCGAATAACCTGCGGGGGTGTGGCCTGTACTGACAAAGACGTAACATTTTGGCCATTGGATGACTGATGTTTGACTTGTTTACTGTTCCAGTTTGTAGCATGTATTATGTGGCCGATATTAGTGATGTCATCATATGATAATCAGTCAAAGATGGGGCACAGGCTGTGTTTGTGTGGTCACCATATTGTTTTACCGTAAATTAATTAATTAATGGATTGATTGGATGAGTACCTGGTTGGGACTTCCTCTGCCGTACTTGCCTATTTGACGTCCTCCTTAAAAAACCTACCACAATTTCCCGCAGCTATGTGTATTTAGTTAACTCTAAATCTTAGGCCAGTGTGTTGTAGACATCCTGCACATTGGTCCAGTTGACTGCAGAGATATAATGATCCTGAGACTTGTTTGTAAATACAGTAGTGCTTTACTCAAAGAACTGGATGGATTACTAATTAATCTAAATAAACAGTGGCCATCTAATAGGGCTTCCAGCAAACGTGTTTAATAGAAATCCCTCCTCTACCCCAAATTATTGTAATAATTAAAAATTAAATCAGATTTGCTAGTCTTCTGTCTAAGTCATGACTAAGTCTTCGTCTTAGTCATGTACCTTACACAAAGGGCCATTGTCAAAGTGAATATAAATATATATTTAAAACTAGTCAAGGTCAAGATGCACTTCAGAATTTATTCTGCCCATGTCATGTCAAAGTGTTGTAGTGTCTTCTAAGAGATTCTGAATGACGCTTAGTCATCAGCAAAATGCATTTCAACAAATATATATATATATATATATATATATATATATATAATAGTTAATGTGAGCGCCTTAATTATGTTGTATCTGTTTTGATTTTGTTTTCTGATAGTCCTCTAGTCGCATACGGTCCAACTGCATTGTTGCACTATTCAGCTCCAAATTAATTTGTAGTTATGCAGTAAGACATTAGTAAACATATCGTGATCATGAATGCAGTAAGAAAAAACCAAGCATGTTAAATTATTAGACAAAATTAAACTTTACTCATTATTATGAAATATATATTATTTGTAAAAACAGTTACTGAGCCTTCTGAGAGACCAGAAGCGCATGATGAAATATAATTTGAATTTATTATTATTATTATTATTACTAATCATTATGGTTGTAGTTTTAATTTGTTGAATTTCTAAAAAAAAACAGTATTTTTATTAAAGTTACATTTATTTTTGTTAAAACAATGTATTCATTAGTTTAATATTAACCATTTTGAATCAAATGGCGTGACGCCTAGCTAAATATAAATATTCATCAGATAGGACCGTCCCTCCCCTGGCACCATAGAAACACAGTGTTAACACATCAAACCTCCTTCTGTCACATTTCTTTTTTTTTTTACTGCATTTTGAATGGATGTTACTCAAAAACTTATGTCTAAATTAAAGGCCCCGAATGTCAGACTTATCCATTTACAGTTGTGTTTTAGCTAATAAAAAGCTAAATCAGCATTTACATTAGCCAATGGGTTTCCAGATTGCATTTTATCCAACGTGTTCCTGTTCTTTCACGCACCACACAGACTGTCTACCTGCCTGCCTGCACGCATGCTGGCCAAAGCTTGCTCAAAAATGTCCGTCCGATATTACCCTGACTACGAACAATAACTTGTCATGTGAACAGATCCTCCGTTCACATGCGTAGGCTGTTTATAGGGTTCATGGTTTGAGCAATATTTGCTTTCCATCTTATCGAACGCTACCCAGCGGCAGTTTATGCAGCTCAACTGAATTGTGTGTTGAGCCTCATGGTTGTTATCCCAGTGGATGCATTTCATTTGAGAGCAAATGTGGTTTTGTTCCTTCAGAAGAAGGGTTTTTAAATTGTTTCTATCTTATTTAATGTCATTTTCGTTTTTGATCAAAGTTAGAAGAGGCGAGCTGCAAATATATTGCAGGTTGTAACATTTAAAAATGTAGCTTGAAAGTCGATAGTTAAGTCTTTTATTTATTTTATATTTTGTGTTTCAGCATTCATGCGTCACAATAAATCAGCTACTAGTGGCAGTGTTTTCAGACAGTTCACAGATAACGTCTCAACGGAGGCATTGATTTCACAGGGCCCAGAGACAACATCCCTGTGTGAAGCTGCTCAATGTAATCTCTTTACCGTCCACCTCTCTGCCTGAGCTTTGAAAAATACATTCCTGTGAGAATAAATATTTGACCTTGTTTCTTTTGTTCCATTCCCAGAGAGTTGCATTGGTGCTGGGTAGCCGTCCCACAGCAGCCGGGCCTTTGAGCTCTGACGAAGCGCACGGCTTACCTGAAATGAAAAGTGCTGTTTGCAATTGTGGGAGCAGTTCAAAAAACACACCGTAAAATCCAAAGAGATGCATATAATGACAGGAAAATTTCCGCAGCTCCCCCCTTTTCTCTTTCTAAACGAGGGTTTACTGAGTTGTCTCACTTTCTATGTGACTTGAATTGACTGAGCCGATTGTGTTTGCAGCTTCCCTGATTCAAGTGCTCTCTGGCAAACGGGGGCAGCTTCTTTATTTAATGAGCAGAGCATTTGCTTCATTCCACTTTTCCCTCCACACTCAAAACAGCGCCGGCCTGCCTGCTTCATCCTGTGACTGTTTTCCTTTTTATAAACAGGTGGGTGATGTGATCGGCTCCCACTGCATCTCCCACTGCCAACTTTCCTTAATTAGAGAGCTGCCTAAGGCTGTTGGTCAGCCTGCTTTGTGTGTGTGTATCTTGTGTATATTTGGGTGTTCACCGATTGTATATAGCTACCTACATGTGTGTCTGTTGACAGTACAGGAAAGGTCGGTGTGCGTGCGTGCGTGCGCGTGTGTGTGTGTGTGTGTGTGTGTGTGTGTGTGTGTGTGTGTGTGTGTGTGTGTGTGTGTGTGTGTGTGTGTGTGTGTGTGTGTGTGTGTGTGCGCGCCTGTATGCCTGCATGCATGTGTTTGTATTGTGTTGGAAACGTCAACCCACAGGGGGGTTTGGGGTGGAGTCAGTATCTGTGGATTAATTACCCAGAAGGCACCGGTCTACCCTTTACACACACACAGGCCCTCAACACACACAAACTGAAGACATAAACGCACCCACGAGACTTCAAAATGTCACTTTACTTGCTCGTGCCAAATAAAATCACCCTATCCAACCAAAGAGCTGCTGGTGTTTTGGGGTTTGTTTGCCAATTCTTAGTTCTGCTGCTGAAAGCTTTTGGTTAGTCTTCTTCTGACTTCTAACATTTATTACACGGTGGGAACATTAATTGATCCTACTGCATCCCCTCTGGAGATAAAGATAACATCAAATGCTATTGTCCTTTAACGTTGTCAAAACAAGTGAATTCATTTCTTTAATAGTTCACAAGTACAAGCTGAGCCTTCTCTATCCTGCCAATGAAAACTGAAAAAGCATAATCCTCACGCAGCATCCCCGCTTTTATTTTTTATTTTTTTATTTTTCTTGCCTCGATACATTTATCAAGTTATTTCTTGCCTCAAAGCCAAAAACAAACGAGCAGTAGGCATCAGTTGTGTAACAATGGGGTAGGTAAAATCCTCAACCGCCATTACCGTAGTTTCAAGCTCCAATTCACATGCAGTAGAAAGGACGATGGCAGCATAGTGTACTTTTCAAGCTTTCAGGCTACACACAGAGCAGCGTGTTGCCTGGTTAAAGGGCCATTTCTCTGTTTTTGCATCTCTAAATTGGCTACGTATTACACTTTCAATATACTTTAATGGTTAGTTGCTTAATTTTATATCAGGGGTCTCAAACTCCGGCCCACTGGGGTGTCCGGTGCGGCGTTCGCAGGTAGAACAGTCCGCGCCCCCGACCGTCGACCGTACCATTTGCCGTTTGGACCATCAGCGCCACCAACCCATCGACCGTGATGGTCCGGGCTGCGTTCGGTCGAAGTGGGCTGCATCTGGCCCGCACCTGACACGAGTTTGAGACCCCTGTTTTATATTCCGACACCCAAAACAGAACTTTGACGTACAAACGTTTCTGCGTCTGTTTCCCCTTCTAAATTAGTCCCCTTATTGTTTTCATGTCATTGGCTTGAATTTTTCAGAATTGCTACACAACTTTGCCATGTAAAATGCTTGTGTAGTATGGTATGATATATTTTTGGGCTATATATTAGCTCTACAGCAAGAAAGGGAGCTTAAATCCCAGCGATAAATAATGGACTCCAATAGGCTGCAGGGAAGGAGAGATTTGTGTGTAATGTAGGCTAATTAGTTTTTTGTTTTTTTTGCTGTTTGTATTATTCACCTCAGACCCAATCAGTGGTTCATTCAGGTACCAACGGTCTGATCCTATCTGGGCAGCAGGTGTTTGCACAAAACAAATGCCGTGGCAACATAAATAATCTCTGAAACCCCACAGTGGCCGACAAACCCGATTTAGGGTGAAATCTGTTCCCATGTCAGATGTAACCAAGCTTCTGATTTATTCATGCTTAAAATTGTAGAAATTGTTTTCTTGTGCAAATGAGTTTTGGTCGTAAATGAATATGTTCATTCATCAGACCCTGCAGCCAAATCTACCGCCCTGTTTAATGATGGTCTGCGTATTGTGTATCTTACTGAGTGCTAAGTAAAACCAAAGCTGCTGTATCCTCCTCAGTGTTGTGATAATTTATTCAAAGTTGTATTCATACATAAGAGAAACGACAATAAAGCAGCTCATGAGTAACTTGTGTGATGTTTCTGACCCAATTTGCGTTGAAGAGGTTTTTGCGTTGTGTGTGTTGTTTTTTTTTAATCTGTATTCCTAAATTATGATTATTTATTTTGAAAAGTAATTTTCTTAGCAAATCCACCAAACATTAGCGGCCACTGTTTCTTGTCAGTATGACAAGCCACTGTTTCTTGTCATAAGTGTGAGGTGAATACATTTCTCCTCATTTGCGATCATCTTTGTCTGACTGCATAATACTCATGCTCTTAATTTTATTAAAGATGCACAATAAAAAATTATGCAGAATTGTGTGTCTTCCTCTCTTCTCTTTTTATATTGATAAATCTCTAGTTGGAGAGAGAGGTGTATAATTAATGTTCTTTCTTTGTGTAATAGTCTGCGAGGTTTTTGGCCCATTTTTGTTAATGTTGAATTGTGACCAGTGACTGATTTTTTTCCTTTTTTTCCTCTTTTTTTTTTAATCATCATTCATTATTCTTCTTCTCCTCCCTGTCACCACTTTCTTGTCATTCCTCTCTCGTTCTCTTCATTTTACCTGTTCCCTTAATCTTTTATCTCATCCTTTTATTTTCTCCATCTTTTCTCCCTCTCATCTTCTTTCCTCGTCCGCAGAATCGCATGCACGAGTCTCTGATGCTCTTCGACTCGATCTGCAACAACAAGTTCTTCATTGACACCTCCATCATCCTCTTCCTAAACAAGAAGGATCTGTTTGCAGAGAAGATCAAGAAGTCCGCGCTCAGCATCTGCTTCCCAGAATACACAGGTAGAACAAAACATAAAATAAATGACAGTGACAGTTTCCCTGAGTGCATAAGTGAGAAATGGCAGCTTTCAAAACAGCAGCAACCAAACTTGACAGGTGAATAAAACTCTGTAAAGGAGGTACATTGAATCCAATTACTTAGGACAAAACATATAAGCAATGTGTATCAAAGTAGCACCACACCTCTGATCTTCGATTAATCTGATTCCCAAAAGCTAAATACAGAAGCTTTCTAAAACCCCATCGATTAACCGCTGCTTCATACAGCAAATGAGAATGTTTGCCGTTGTAACAGCTGTGAAACAATCTGGACATGAACTGCTATTAAGTGTTGAAGCATTCTGCAAAAGGTTTCATCGAGCCAGTAGCCTTTATTTGAAGGGAACAAAACAATATAGAGGAAGATTTACTTGATTGTTTCTAAAAGCATAAAAGAGAAGGAATGAGAGACCGCTGAAATAGACGCTGTCAGAGGAGTAAAGGTGAGCGTCAGATGTGGCAGTGAAAAGGAAATAATTGGAAGTCTGAGGGCAGGAGACCGTCACGCTCTGTCAGCCAAGGAGGGAGGAGAGAGAAGATGGCAAGTGAGAGCTGTCTCCTGCCCTCTTCACACACACAACATGCAGCTCCGTCACACTCATTCATTTCTGGCCCACCTGTTTATTTCATTTGCTCACTGCCGTGATGATCAGAGTAAGTCTGTCTGACCTGTTTACCCTCACGATAGTCCCCTCCCGCCTTACCTCGCCGGCAGGAGCTCCATCCTAAGCCTCATCTTTTTTTATTTAGAAGTAAAAAGTTTCAGACCTGATCAGTCCAAATAGCAGCTAAAATAAATACCAAATATATTTGTAGCTACAGTAATAAGTTTTGATTTCATTGGGATCTCATTCATCTGCATTGTAAAATCAAGGGAGCATCATTCTGTTGTATGATAACTCTTAACCATACGATTTTCTCCATCTCGCTCTCCTCTCTCCAGGACCCAATACTTACGACGACGCAGCAGCTTACATCCAAGCACAGTTCGAGAGCAAGAATCGCTCCCCAAACAAGGAAATCTACTGTCACTTGACCTGCGCCACGGATACAGGAAACATCCAGGTGGTGTTCGATGCCGTCACCGACATCATCATCGCCAACAACCTGCGAGGGTGTGGCTTGTATTGAGCCCGCCCACACACCCCGCAATGTCTTCCCCCTTTTGTCCCCTGTCCTCCCTCGCCCCACCTGTCCTCCTCCCACCTCGCTCCTGTTCCTTTGACACTGCTGTGGAAATGGTGATGACGATAATGATTCTGCTGATTATTTAAAGAAAAAAGGAAAAATGCAACTAGGTACATATTATTAATAATGAGGATAATAAAAAATATATATATGTATATATATATATATATGTATATATATATATTTATATATATATATAGATGTATATATATATTTATATATATATATATATGTATATATATATTTATATATATATATATGTATATATATATATATATATATATTTATATATATGTATATATATGTATATATATATATGTATTTATATATATATATATATATATATAAGGTTTTTAGTTTTTGTCTCTTCTCACGCTCTGACTTCTCGTCCTAACGGTCTTCGGCCTGCTGCCAAGCAAACAAATTTGTTTCAGTAGAAAACACAAACCTGAAGCCTTGAAAACTTCTTGAACAAAGTCAATGAATGCCTGCT